GTCATTCATAGTTGATCATCTTACAATATTGTTGTTACTTTGTACACAGTACATTTCACTTTGCATTATCATTGTGTAAGTTTTCCCAAGTTTTTCTGAGAGCATCCTGCTCATCATTTCTTATAGTACAATAGTATTCTGTCATAATAACGTACCACAACTTGTTCAGCCATTCTCCAATTGATGGGCATCACCTCACTTTCTAATTTTTTTTTTTTGGCTAGGCAATGGGGTAAAGTGACTTGCCCAGGGTCACACAATGAGTAAGTATCAAGTGTCTGAGGCTGGATTTGAACGCCGGTCCTCCTGACTCCAGGGCCTGTGCTCTATCCACTGCACCACCTAGCTGCTCTTTAATTTCTAATTCTTCGCCCCCCGAAAAGAGTTGCTATAAATATTTTTGTACGTATAGGTCCTCTTCCTTTTTGTTTTTTATCTCTTTTGGGATACAGACCTAGTAGTGGTATTGCTAAGTCAAAGGCTATGCATGGTTTTATAGCCCTTTGGGCATAGTTCCAAATTGCTCTACAGAATGGTTGAATCAGTTCACAACTCCACCAAGAACACATTAATGTCTCATTTTTCCCACATCTCCTCCAACATTTGTCATTTACCTTTTCTGTCCTAGTAGCCAATCTGACAGTATAGTGGGTAGTATTTCAGAATTGTTTTAATTTGCATTTCTCCAATCAATAGTGAATTAGAATATTTTTTCATATGGGTATAGAGAACTTTGATTACTTCATCTGAAAATTGACTATATCTTTTGATCATTTATCAGTTGGGGAATGGTTTTTATTTTATAAATTTGACTTAGTTCTTTATGTTTGAGAAATGAGGCCTTTATCAGAGAAACTTACTTCAATATTTTTTTTCACAGTTACTGTTGCTAACTGTATTTCCCTCCATCCTATTTCCCCCACCCCTGTTCAGTCTATTTTCTCCCTCCTTTCACCCTGTCCCTCCTCAAAGGTGTTTTGCTTCTGACTATACCCTCCCCAAATCTGCTGTCCCTTTTATCATTCCTCCCCCTTCTCTTGTCCTGTTTCCCTCCTACTTTCCTGTAGGGTAAGATAGATTTTTTTTTATAGCCAATTGCATGTGTATGTTATTCCCTCTTTGAGCCAATTATGATGAGAGCCACTATAAAAACTTTTTCTTGCATCTTTTATGTAAGATAATTTATCCCAGTCTATCTCTCCCTTTCTCTTTCTTCCAGTACATTCCTCTCTCATACTTCTTGATTTTATTTTTTAGATATTATCCCTTCATATTCAACTCACACTTATGACCTCTATTTATTATACTCCTTCTAACTACCCTTTAATGAGAAAGGTCTTATGAGTTACAAATATCATTTTCCCATGTAGGAATGCAAACTTAAGTGTTTTATGATTCCTGTTTCCTGTTTACCTTTTTATGCTTCTCTTGAGTCTTATATTTGAAAGTCAAATTTTCTATTCAGCTCTGTTCTTTTCATCAAGAATGCTTGAAAGTCCTCTATCTCATTGAATATCCATTTTCCTCCCTGAAGGATTATGCTCAGTTTTGTTGGGTAGGCGATTCTTGGTTGTAACTCTAGCTCCTTAGCTCTCTAGAACATCATATTCCAAGCCCTCTGGTCCCTTAATGTAGAAGCAGCTAAATCTTGTATTATCCTGACTGTGGCTACATCATATATGAATTGCTTCTTTCTGACTGCTTGCAATATTTTCTCCTTGACATAGGAACTCCAGAATTTTGCTATAATATTACTGGGAGTTTTCATTTTGAGATATCTTTCAGGAAGTGTTTGGTGTATTCTTTCAATTTCTATTTTAACCTCTGATTCTAGAATATCAAGGCAGTTTTCCTTGATAATTTCTTGAAAGATCATGTTCAGGCTCTTTTTTGGCTTTCAGGTAACCCAATATTTTTAAAATTATCTGTCTTGGATCTATTTTCCAGATCAGTTGTTTTTCCAATGAGATATTTCATATTGTCTTCTATTTTTCATTCTTTGTTTTAGTTTTATTGTTTCTTGATTTCTCTTAAAGTCATTAGCTTCCATTTGCTCCATTCTAATTTTTTAAGGAATTATTTTCTTCAGTGAGCTTTTGGACCTCCTTTTCCATTTGGTCAATTCTGCTTTTTAAGGCAATCTTCTCTTTGTTGGCTTTTTGGACTTTTTTTAGTATTTAGCCTTGTCTGTTTTTTAAGGTGTTATTTTCTTCAGTGTATTTTTGTGTCTCCTTTACCAAGTTGTTGACTCATTTTTCATGATTTTCTTGCATCACTCTCATTTCTCTTCCCAATTTTCCCTCTGCCTCTCTTACTTGATTTTCAAAATCCTTTTTGTGGTCTTCCGTGGCCTGAGACCAGTTCATATTTCTCTTGGAGACTTTGGATATAGGAGCTTTGACTTTGTTGTCTTCTTCTGAGTATATATTTTGATCTTCCTTGTCACCAAAGTAGCTTTCTGTAGTAAGAGTTTTTTTTCCCATTGTTCGCTCATTTCCCCAGTCTATTACTTGACTTTTAAGTCTTTGTTAAAGTAGGGCTCTGCTTCCAGGGTGGAGGGAGCACTGTCCCAAGCTTCAGATGCTTTGTGCAGCTGTTTTCAGAGATATGTCTAGGGGTTGTAAGTTTTCAGTTCTTCCAAGGTGGTACGACCTAAGGAGAAGTATTTAGTACTTTTCTTTGCTACTCTGCTACTTCCTGTGCTCTGATCTATGAGTAACAACAAACTCTTTTCTGTCCTGGAACTGTGAGGAGGGTCCCCCCTCTACTGTGGCTGCAAGCTCTGCTATGCTAGTGCTCCTCCTCACCCTGCAACTGCAAACTAGGAGCTGGATCTGAGTATGGGCAAAGCACCAGAGTCCTGCCTCAGACCCTGGTAATCTCTTTCTGACCAGTTGTTCTACCCTTTTACTGTCTGTGTGTTGCCAGCAATTAAATAGTGCACCGAATGGAAGAGCGTGAAATAAAGAAAGATGTGGGCCAGGCGGAGCAGTAAAGACTGACTCAGTTTATTCATCTGAGGGTACAGGATATACAGAAAAAATCTAGCTTAACTTCAAAGAGTCCTCCCCATGAGACACTTCCCAAAGCATCTGCTGAGGACATGACAACATACATTTCCTCGTTATCAGGGTTCCTAGATTGGGTTGTATTTTCCAAGGTTTTCCCAGGTGCCTTGGTGCCATCTGCATAGAGGAGTAATATGTAAATCTAAGGTTCAAAGAGTGAGAAAGAATGTCTCAGAAAACCTCCCTTGCAGGGGAAGATTTGGAGAGCCCTGCTTCCTAAATGATTGAGCCCTGTGGGTTAAGACTGGGCAAGAGTCAAACTCTGTCCTGGATCTTAAACCCAGATCAGACTCTTTAGAGCCGGCCCTCAACAAATTCCCCCTTTAAATTTTGCAAGCAGCTTGAGGCCATGAACATCCTTTCCTAACACTCTGATCCTTAATGCAAGGAATAATGAAACAAAATATGATGAATAACATGTCCCAAGAAAATGCATGAATCTCACCTAAGCTGTGGTGAACATATCTTAAGAGGCAGGCAGGGAGGAAACACAAAATTAACACAAAACATAGTCAAGGTAAAAAATGCAATAATGAACTTAATACATTCTTAAAAGGATTAAGTTGATCAATCCAATTTAACAATTTGTTTACAATATCTTGAGGACCAATACCATCAACATAAGAATCAGTAATTTCATGTGGTATTTTAGATAGTTGGTTAATTTTCTATGTAATATTTTCAGAGTGCCATGCACCTTGGAGCTTCTTTAATATTTGTTCAATGGTTACATTAGCATTAATGAAATTTGAATACACATATGGGGTTACCCAAATAGAAGAATAATGATAATTACATTTCAAATTGAAGTACATTGTTAATTGTTCTATTTGTTTTCCTAAAGCCATCACTGACTGCTCTGAAACATCCAGTTCTTGTTGCATCATAGTATCTATTTAAATTTGATGTTGTAAAATTGCAGACCAATTGTTAGCATACTGAGCAGTTCAAAATTGGCAGTAATATCATGAAAGGTATTAATATTTAGAGTCATATTAGAATTGTGCCAGGCCCTCAATAGGTGGGCACTTGTCTTGTCTCATGAGATATTAGGATCTGAAGCATCATAGGGTAGCAGGGTAATGTAAATATATGAATACCTATAATCACATTGCAATAGCAACCTTGTTTTCAAGGTTTCTAACTCATCTTTTTTTTTCCCTCAATACCAACAATCAAACTTTATTAATCAAATGCATGCAAACTCTAACTCATCTTCTAAATATAATAATGATTGTTCTAATAAATTGACTTTATACAATATATCAATAGCTTCTTGTACTTTAAGTACTAAACATATATTTTTTGCTAAGTCATATACAAATTATGCAGTTTAAATTTTAGATTGTAGCACAAAAGGTAAAACAGTAGATACAATAAAAGAAGCAACAATGATTAAACCAGTAATAAGAAGACTAATACATTATTTTGATTGACTTAAGGAGGAAATGATGATTTTAGGAACACATTTACCAGAGTTCTGGAACTATTCATGTGTAATATTAGTAGGGAAAATAACAAATGATTATTGTTTTACCAAAAGTACAATATAGTCATTATGATCAATACATTGTTTGAGAGTACAATTGATACAAGTATCATTTCAATTCAAAAATAGTATTAGATTGAATAAAATTTACATATCCAATAGATAAACTGGTATTAACAAATGATGTAACAAGGAACAGACATGATTCAATATTGTTGCTAAATTTTGAAAAACATAGGTGTCCTGGATGCTGGAGACCTGAGGGTAATTGTAACATTGACTTTGTCCTGGAGATAGGGATCTTCTTGTCTTCCTAATATACGGGTATTATTAGTATATATATAGTCCCAATTTGTCCGTATAAGTGAGGGGTTGCATCCAGGGTGGAAAAGGAAAAATAAGTCCAGTGCTGAGCACTCTGTACATTATACACTTGAGCAAAAAGTAAAGCTACTATTACTAAAAATACAAGTTCAGGAGTCTTTTGTCACTCAAAGACAGGGAGCTTTCACTTGACCCCATGTGGGAAGGCAACTGATCACTGTAGATTGGCTCCTTCTGTGCTTTCCCAGAATCCTCATACTTTGCATTAGAGCTGTGAGTTGTTATACATGCTCTGACATCTTTCTCTGGTATCCAGACAGGTTTATCAAAGTTTTCTGAAAAAATATAAGCACACCCTCATCCCCTTGTTAGTAATGGATCTGGGCCTCTGGATGTTTTTAGGCTGGAGTGTACTCATCTTTGTTAATATTTAGAAAATTAATAGCCAATTATAAAAATTAATAGCCAATTGTCAAAAATTAATAACCAATTATCAATGAGGGGTAATAGCCCAGATTCCCCCTTTTTTGTTTAAAAAGAATAATTTTAATATCTTTGTTTTTAATTATATAAAATGTTTGTGATCAGAGAAATGTTATAAAAAGCATAAAAGGAAGAATATGTTTTGCTAATGGAAGCTCCTCAGGAGCATTATTTGTTTAATTCGTTTAAGTACATTCATAACTGTGAAGGCTTGTAAAATATGATTGATCACATGTTTAATTGTTCCACTTGTTTGTAAAGTGGCAAAAATGAAAGAAGAAAAAATACCATTATAACATGAATATAAGAAAGCTTTTCAAAAGAAGGCATATAAGTTACATCCAATTGTCAAATATGTTTGGGAGAAAAGCCTCTTGATACATTTGAAACAGGCTGTTAATTAAAAAATAATCATTATTCTTTATACTATGTTTCTAATACTGTAGGAGTTTATTTATTCAAAAATATTCACAAAATGTTTTCTCTACAGTTAAGGTTGTTGTATTGGCAGAATATAGTTAATAAAAGGCTCAATAAAAGTTTAACAAAAGTTAAGTGCCAGCATTGTAGTTAAGAATCAATAATGGTATTGCTTTCAGTATATAATTGTGTATGAGTAATATATTTTAACTTTGCAGTCTCTATATTTTGAGAGACATAAACAGATTACTTGTTATCAGAAACAACATTAATAGGCTCATAATATCCTGCTATACCTGTACTTAACCCATCGATGAATGTCATGGGTGCTGAAGGAATGGGGTTAAATCTAACAATCTTTTTGAAATACCTATGAATAATTAGTAAAAAAAAAGGTTAATATCTTAAAAAATGGTAAGTAATTATCAATATCAATATGACCAGAAAAAATAGTAATAGCAATTTGCCAATCCTCAAAAGAGGAAACAAGAGTGTCTATTTGTCTTTTATTATAAGGTTGATTAATAACAGAAAGTAAATTTCCTATAAGTTAAAAATTGTAGGGGACACTGGAATACTAAGAATAGCACCTGGTACCTCTTCATTAAAAGAAATATGGGTGAGTTGAGCTTCAGGAATTTTTCTGTTGCACTAAATAAAGCTCCTTTTTTGCCTCAGGAGTTAATGTCCTAGGGGAATTTAGATTAGGATCTTCTCTAAATGTAAAAAAGAAATTACACAAGTGTTCTGTAGTAATTTGGAGTGTGGTCGAAGCCAATTAATATCCTCTAAAGTTTTGAAAATCATTAAAAGTTTTTAAAGAATCAAGCTAAGTATATTTTGTGGCTTTACTGTTTTGGTGACAATATGACCTAGGTAGGAAAATGGAGATTTTTCTTAAACTCTTTCTGGGGCTATAATATGCCCATATTCCTGTAAAGCCAATTGAAGCTAAGGTAATAAATGTGAGTTCATTTTTTAGTGGAACAGCTATAAAGTATGTCACTATATAGCGTACTATTTTTGCATTGAGAAATTTTTTCCTAATTGGTTGTATAGCTTTATTAACAAAATTTTGACAATTGTAGGGCTGTTTTTCATGCCTTGAGGAAGGACTTTCCATTGAAACCTGGTTGCAGGGTGTTCTGCATTAACACTGGGTATTGTAAAAGCAAAGCAACATTTGTCAGCTTCTTGCAGTGGAATAATAAAAAAGCAATCTTTTAAATCAATAACTATCAAAGGCTAGGAAACAGAATTCATAATGGGTGAAGGGAGACTTCATTAATAGCTCAGAGGTCATGAAGCATCCTCCATTTTGCTGACTTCATTTTAATAACAAAAACAGGTGAATTCCAAGGATTTGTAAAGAATTCTATATGTCCTTTTAAAAGTCTTGTTCAACTAATTGTTTTACTGTAAAAAGCTTCCTTTTTGTCAAAAGCCACTGTTCCACCCAAACAAAATAACAGCTCCCCTAGATGTAAAATATTGTGCCCCCACAAATTAAAGGGAATTAATTGAGTTTCAGCTATCTATTATTCTACTTAGTTTAAATTCATCTTAAAATAATTGATTAGTGGTGATCTACTAGGCAGGCTAAAGCTAATTAATATCTTTAAGAGTTTTTAAAGAATCTTGCCTATTTTGTAATATTTTGGGGGTCTAATTGTGGGCTGTGAAACAATATGTCCAAAGTAAGCAAAGGGTGATTTCTTTTGTGCCTTATCAGGAGTAATTATAAATCTTTGAGACTGAAGAGCTTGTTAAAGCTCACACATTAATAAGGAAAGTTCGCTAGTAATAGAACAACTGCAAAATTTATCATCCATATTACAAATTATTTTTGTCTGGGAATATTTCTGCCTAACAAGTTTTAACAGTGTTGTGAACAAAATTTTTGCACATGGTAGAAAACATTCCTTCTTAGAGGAACATAATAGGAAAACTTCAAATACTGATTTAATGGAGACAACTATACTGAAATTCAAACTCAAAACAAAATTAGTTATAGTCCTAAGAGTTTTTTTTACCTCAAACAGCAAGTTTCACTAATCATGGCTTAAAGCCACATACAGTTAATTTTACTCCCATGGAGTTGTAGTAAGTAACAAAGATTTGCCAGGACTCACATACATAAGAGATTTCACTTAACATTTTTTCTTTCTCAAATTTAAACTTGTTCTGGTAAAAAGCCAATTATTAGAAATCATTTCTATCTATTGTACATACAGTTGCAACTTCTCAGCAAATTAAGTTCATTGTTTAGGAGCTGCATGATCCTAAAAAGTTCTTTTTTTTTTTTTTTTCAGGGCAGATGACCTTGCCCACAACAGATAGTTTCCAGGAGCCCTGGCGAATTTACCAAGTAGAAAGAATTGCCTTGTGCCCCTCCTTTTCACTCATAAGTAATATAAAATTCTAGGTGTTAACATTAAAACAGTAACTTCAAATAACTGAATTAACAGTCTGGTAATTTTCATAAGTGATAGTCAAATTGTTTTAACTATAAGCTGTTCTTTAATTACAGGTAAAGATGGAAATACCTGATTTTCTAATTGACAGTTATAAAACATTATGAGACAAAATTAACTGGACTTGATAAAATAATTTAGCTGGTTTTTACACAGCTTTCCCACTATCTTTCAGTAATTCACATTTTAATACCATCTAAATTATTAAAAATTGTTTGACATAGCACAAAACAATATAAAAGTTTACCAATTTGTAACAATACTAGATTTTCAAAACTTGAAACAAACATATTACTAATTTGAATGAGCTAAATTATCTTTTGATTGCATTCCAAATACATAAAAAACTTTGCTTTACCATCTGAGGGGGTGCACCCTCCTTTTCACTATTCTCATTCTGTCTCTCACACCCCAACTTGGCCAGGGTTGGAATGTGAGAGAAAGGAAGAGAATATTTTCCAACAACTTATCTTTGATAATCTTTCAATTTTACACCCAAAGCTTTGGCCAGAGCTTTAGAATGCAAAAGAAAGAGAATTTCTTCCTAATAACTCTTCAAAAGTTTTCAAATCTTTTATTCTCAAATCCTCCATTTATGCTATTAATGAAGATGGATTATGCTATTCTTTCTACCCCTACTTCTCTCATTATTGCATGCTTAAACTTTCTTGTCTTTTATCAATCATATAATGTAAATAATAAAATATTTTTTCTCTCCATCTTACCCCCATCCACCCCATCCTGGGAGGGTGCTGGTAGTAGGGAGGGGAAAGGGGAGAAAGCTAGCTAGCTGCAAAAGATTTCAGATTACACACATACACACAGACACTCACATAGAACAGATAACATAATGACAGGGAGACTAGTCAGAAATCCCCTATACAAATCAACAATTGTTTGGAGAATGAGTTTTCTCCAGCTCTGTTGTTTAAGAGAAAGGGAATACACCTTTCACCTCATCCTCTTCTGCAATTCTAAGCTTCTCATCAAATAGTCTATTCCTCTCTTCTTCTTCCTCTGTTCCCACCTCCGCATTTACCCTGAGCACTTTTGTTGCTAATGGCACATTCTCTGGAGGAGTGAGACATATTTTTAGCATGTTCTAAAATTACTGTAGCTATTTGTAATAAATAAACCCCTTTCTGTCACTATTTCCTTGAAAAGTTTTAGATAAACATTCTTTGTCTTTGATTCCACTTTGTGTTTGACCCAGACTTTTGATCCCAGGCACGCCTCCCAAAACTGAAAGTAAGTGCTTGTGGCCATTTCAAAGCAGCACTATTTTTTAAGCTCAAGCCCCTTTTCCTTTCTATTCTTATGCTCTATTACTGAGCCTTCACTCTAATCTATTTCCCTACTCTCCCACTTAAGCCTGGTGTTTCCTTCGGCCCTAAAACTGCCAAAGGACTGGGTATAAAAACCCTCGCCCTCTTACCTTGTTTCCACAGTGTTGAGCTCCCAAGGACCTTGTTCCACAGCATAGAGCTGCCAAGGGTTTTCTTTTTCTCCGGAACACTAAGAGGACTGCTCTTCTCGTACTTTCAAGTCCTTATTCAGGCACCAAATGTTGGCAGCAATTAAATACTGCACTGAATGGAAGAGTGCGAAATAAAGAAAGACATGGGCCAGGCGGATCAGTAAAGACTGACTCAGTTTATTCATCTGAGGGTACAGGATACATAGAAAAAAAAAATCTAGCCTAACTTCAAAGAGTCCTCCCCATGAGACACTCCCCAAAGCATCTGCTGAGGATGTGACAACATACATTTCCTTGTTATCAGGGTTCCTAGATTGGGTTATATTTTCAAAGGTTTTCCCAGGCGCCTTGGTGCCATCTGCATAGAGGGGTAGTATGTAAATCTAAGGTTCAAAGAGTGAGAAAGAATGTCTCAGAAAACCTCCCTTGCAGAGAGGGAGATTTGGAGAGCCCTGCTTCCTAAATGATTGAGCCCTGTGGGTTAAGACTGGGCAAGAGTCAAACTCTGTCCTGGATCTTAAACCCAGATCAGACTCTTTAGAGCCCGCCCTCAACATCTGTGCTGCCACTGCTGAGTCAGTTACTCCTAAGGCCTGCTCCTGGTTTGCTGGGGCCAGGGCTGTGCTGGCACAGCCTGTGCTGGACTATGCTTCATTCTCACTCAGAGGCAACAGACCCTTCCTGCCAACCTTCTAAGTTTTCTTTGGCATTTGTGGCCTGAAAGGTCTGGAAACCAGCAGTTCTGCCACTTATTCAGTCACCCCATGGCCTGCTCTGGGTTTGCTAGGGTCCAGTTTGCACTGGTGCAGCCTGTACTGAACTGGGCTTTCCTCTTACCCTGCTCCAACTGACTTTTCCTGCCAACCTTCCAAGTTGTCTTGAGCTGGAAATTTGTTTCACTGCATCTTTTTGTGGGTTTTGCTGCACTAGAATTTGTTTAAAGTCATTTTTAAAAGGTATTTGGAGGATGTTGGAGGAGAGCTCAGGTGAGTCCCTGCCTTTACTCCATTATCTTGGCTCTGCCTAAAAGGAATTTCAAAGTCAGCACAGACAAGTAGGACAGTTTGAAAGTATCAAGCTGAATTTATTATATGCTTAAAAAAGACAAAGACCGTAAGAGATAAGTATGGAATAGAAATGTGTGATTTCACATAAAATTTCTTTTTGTGTTCTACTTTGTGTAGAAATATTATTTTTTTTTTTGGTGTTTGTGAAATTCAGAATTTTATGTATATCTGTATATATGTTCTCTTTATTTTCAAAATATTCAGGATTTCAGGATATATTCAGGATAAAAGTTACAATAATTTTATTGAGAGAGAGAGAAAATATCTCTACCTCTCTTCTTTTCATGTCACTTTCCAAATGTGACAGGAAAAAAACATCTTCAATTTCTCTCAAGCAAGTCCTGAGTCTTAATAGACTCTCACTATATAGTATGTTTGCATATTTATACACATATGTGTATATATGTATGTGTGTGTGTGTGTAATCCCATCCCTGTTTCAAAAGCCTTCCTACAGGGGTTATAAAAATGTTACTGACTCTTTAAGAAGGAAGGATGCTCACAGTTACAATTAAACCTGTCATTCTATGAGGTACTTCTCCAAAAGGAGTGTAGGAGACTTATGTGTGTATAAATTTAACTTTGCTATATGAAGATCTATGATATAAACTGTAGAGAAGACAGAAGGAAGGTAAAGAGAGACTTCTTTTTTGTTAGAACTGTATCAACTTATTTTTATAAAGAAACACATTATAAAGATTTTTATGAGGTGGGAGTCTGTCAGGAGTCAGGGCTGGAGAGAAATGGAAGATGCTGTTTTCCTGTCACATCTAGAGAGTGACACAAAGAGGACAGGGGTAGAGATAGTCTCTCTTTTTAAAAAAGGAAATTATTATTCACTTTTATCTTGTGAAGAAAACAAGGGAATTCTTCCAAAAAGAATTTGTTGTCCCAAGTAAACTAAATATCATGGGACTGTTTTCACAGTGGAAGAGAAGTCATCTGCTCCTCTTGTGTCACTTTTAGGTGACTGTCACTATGATCATTCACATGGCAATTTTGTAAATAATTGTGTTTTGTCTTATTATTGATTTCATTGTTAATAAACTGTATATTCATGCCTTGACCACACAATTGCTCTCAGCCTCTTTAGGTCCAATGTCTACTTTTCAATTTGTCATTCCACCTTTTTTTTTTAAAGGTAATTTGAGTAGCTTTCTTCAGACCCTTTAGTGTTGGGTGTCTATGATTCTCAGTAACACTGGAAAAAACAGGTGTCAAACACTCCCAAATATGGCTGAACCAGATTAAAATGTATTGGGAAATATTTAGTAAAATAAATGAAAATATACTACAACATAGTTAATGTTGATTTATGGTTTTCTAAGTCAGTATGTAGCCCTGCAGAAATTTGTTTTTATTTGAATTTGACACTGCTGCCAAGACCATTAGTTAATTAGTTAATAGCTGCCTCTTGTGTCCTCTTGAAGACCCTCTTTTTTCCATCCTCCCAATCACAGTCATCATCTCTGTTATTTGGGTTCTCTGTGCTACAGGATGTAGCACGGAGCTAGGAAGGTGTTTACTGCTTAGTATATTTTTTAAATGAATAAATGAAAGGATGGCACTCAGATGCATTGGCTAGTCAAAAAGTCAAAAAGCATTTACTAAGCACTTACTATATGCTATGTACTATGCTGAGCTAGTCTTTAATGAACGAGAACTATAGTTGCTTTCCCATCAAGGACAACCTGTATTTTGTTTGGTTTCTCCATTTAAGCTCTTTTTCTGTGTCCTCATGCTGCTGCTGTGATATCCAGCCTCCTCATCCACCCCCCCCCCCGTACCCCTATGTCCTATCTGGGCTTAGTGTCCCAAACAGTCTCCCTTGCTTTATTTATTTATTACAACACCTCCTTCCATCAACTCTTACCTGTGCTAGATTTCTTCCCCTTAAGGTCTTGCTTTGTGCTTTCTCTGTTGACCTGTTAAATTAATCTTTGCTAAGGCATTAATTATTTATTTATTTACTGATTCATGTATTTATTTGAGCAAATTCAATTCACAAAGCCTACTACAAGGCCTTGTGGGATCCAAAGTTAGATAAGGTGCTCGCCTTCATGGAGCTTACAATCTAGCGGGTAAGATAAGATATGAACATACAAGACTATGGTACAAAATAGAATATGATAGTTCATTAGATATTTAATAACAAAGTATCAGCAGCAAAGTTCAAAGACTGAGGAGATAATTCTGCTTGGCAGTATCAAGGAAGCTACAGTGGTGGAGGGAATGTTGGAACTGATTCTCAAAGTATGGCTAGGATTTTACCTTAATGTGTTACCCTTCTTTAGAGCATTTTAATTTTTGCCAGGTATCAAAACTTTTGTCCAAAGGAATCAGCATCTCATGGTATAAATTTTAATGATGGTGGCCAGTCAGTGAAGGAAGTGTATTTGATTGGGGCAACTTTCATCAGTGGTCATTATCCCACATTATGCATGGTTATTTGTTATTTATTATTAATTGTTATCTTTTTTTTTTTTATTAATTTAAGGCCAGTCCTACTTTTTTTTCTTTTTGATGAGGCAATCAGGATTAAGTGACTTGCCCAGGGTCACACAGCTAGTAAGTGTCAAGTGTCTGAGGCCAGATTTGAACTCAGGTCCTCCTGACTGCAAGGCTGGGGCTCTATCCACTGCACCACCTAGCTGCCCCCCATCCTACTTTTATCATTCATAAGAATGTCAATAAAAATTTAAAACACAAAGATCACTACTAGGAAAAAAATTCATTATTTGACAAAAACTTCTGAGAAAAATGGATAATAGTATGGAAGAAATTAGATTTAGACCAATACCTAGCATCTTATGCAAAATAAGATATAAAGGCAGCTAGGTAGTTCAAGTCTGGCCTCAGACACTGACTAGCTGTGTGACTCTGGGAAAATCATTTTACCTCTGCCTTCCTCAGTTTCCTCAATTGTAAGGTGGATCAGATGAAGTGACTTGTTCAAGCCTTAGAACTAGTCAAGTGGCAGAGTAGGATTGGCAGTTGGGTCTTTCAGATATTGCCATGAAAAATGATGAGATTGGATTAAATGATATCTAATATCCCTTTCCACCTGTGGATCCTTTGATCCTGCCTCACCAATAGGATTGTGGAAAGAATCAGATAAGATTATGGGTGGAAAAGTTCATTGAAAAGTGTAGTAGCCTGACACATGTCTTGGGATGAGATTGTTTAGTCTAGGCTACTTGCCATCAATGATACTCTGGCTAGCAATAGCTCCCTGAGCTTTCTTCTACTCTGATTCTTAGGTCTGGGTTCTTTCCTCTCTATTGCAGTGCCTGGGTCCAATCAAGTAGGATAGGTTTATGGGTAGTAGAGGAGATGAGGAAGACTCCTGAGCAACCTGCCAGGAAAACTTTCACTGAAAGCACCCCAATGTGAGTTGTCATCCACTCAAGGGGTCTGAGACTCCATCTTCAGCATTGATTTTTGATTCTGCTTATATTTCCTCTGAATGGTCATCAGACTTTCTAGTGCAGAGCAGGTCTGATCTGACTCCTCTGATGCCATATTCTCTTTACAGAAAGCTCCCTTAGAACCCTGCCCCTGGCCTATTGGCTCTTCTCCCAGCTCCTCTCTTAACTGCTGAATATTTTGCTGGATATAGTCATACACCTCATTCGAGTAGCAGCGGAAGTTATTTTTCCAGACAATCCCTTCTATCATATCCATCAGTTCCTTTAGTTGGGCCTCTTGCCCCTCCCCTTCAATTTTGTTGTTGAAACCACAGTGAAATCCTTCACACACCACATATAGCCAGGCCAAGCTTTTGCTCCCTGTTCCTTGTAAGTATTCCTTTAGGGTTTCCCCACCTAAGTCTTCTTTCCTGGTGAAGACAAGGATGGTGTGAGACAGGATCCCTGGTCCAAAGATCTCCTGGATGCACCTGAGGGCCTCCTTGTCCTCATTGGTGTAACGGCCCAACTGTATCACCAAAAGCAGGGCATGAGGCCCTGGGGAAGAGAGGGCCATACAGCGACAGATCTCTAGATCTCTATTTGTTTGGGCACTGGAGGAAAAGATATCTGGTGTGTCAATGACAACAAGTGTTTTTCCATGCCATTTCCTGCTCTCTCTTTGGCAGCTCTCAGTCACTGGCCTGCAACTGAGCTTAGACTTAAAGGCTTTCTTGCCAAGGATGGTATTTCCAGTTGCACTCTTCCCACTTCCTGTCTTCCCTACGAGGATGAGCCTCAGCTCACTCGGCATCACTGGGCCTGGAAAGCAAGAACATGAAAATGAGAGGGTCAGAATTCTGAAGGACATAAACATCCCTTTCCTCTGTTGCCTTTGGCCAACTCATATTGAAAAACAAAAGCCAAGTAGTTGTCATTGTTCTGCTTTATAGCTGGACCATGGGAAGGAAATCAAGGGGGCTCTTCCTTCCCCTTTCACCCCTGCACTACTCCCTATCCAGCTTACGTATGAATACTGAGTCCCAGTTGGGAGAGGGAGGGAGTGAGTTTGAATCAAGCATTGGGAAGAGAGGAGAGAGAGAGAGAGAGAGAGAGAGAGAGAGAGAGAGAGAGAGAGAGAGAGAGAGAGAGAGAGAGACTTTTGCTGACTGAAGAGTTACTTTTTGACAAGTAAACAATCCTATTAACTACCTCATTTCCAGGTCAGATGTCCTTATGTTATACCCTGGCTGCCTAGATTTTTGCTATAGGAAAGCTTGCCTTCTCTACATAATACCCCAGTTTTCTGATCTATCATGTCCTCTCCCTACTTCCTTACTTATTTGTGCTGTGTTTCATCTCATTCTGGCCAAGCTCTTTTTTTCCCCCTACCTCTTTCCCTATCCCTCACTCCATCTCACCCTTCCCATTCCTTATGTTTTACTGAGAAATCCAGTAGGGATGTGAGCATACCTCCCTTCATTTATACTCCCCAACTCAACTCAATCATGAATTTCATTATCAACAGCTGTCCCCATTTAATATTGACAAGATACTCTTCTCATAACATAATGTATACAAAGCATATATTAATGTCTTCCTTTTACAGGTAGGGAAACAGAGGCACAGAGACCTTAAGTGATTTGCCTGGAATCATACAGCTAGTAAGTATTAGAGCAAAATCCTGATAGGCCTTCTGACTACAACATCAATATCGATACTTCCCCCCCAATATCATGCTGCTTCTCAACTTTTCCCTTTCTGTTCCCTTTTCCTTATCCCCCATTTCAAGTGATCTCAAGGGTCTGGGGGAGAATGCAAATGAAAAGCAGATTCTCCTCCCACAAAGCCTTGAGTTTGTTTCATTGTTTCAGTCATGTCAGACTCTTCATGACCCCATTTGGAGCTTTCTTGGCAAAGATGCTGGAGTGGTTTTTGCCATTTCCTTTTCCAGCTCATTTTACAGGTAAGGAAACTGAGGCAAAAAAAGTTAATCAACTTGCCCAGAGTCACTCCACTACTAAGTCCAAAGCCTTGGGATCTCTGGCTTAATGTATTGTCCAGTCTAAGTGTATTTGTATCTTCAGTGCCTTAACCCAACGAAGGGACAATATTAATGGAATTTTAGGCACTGTGCAAGGCAGGTGAGGAATAGATTTGAGGGGGAAGGGAAACCTTCCTCATATCCTGAAATCATACCATCTAGGCAGCCACCTACTTAGTCTTTACATAAGGCCAGCTTCAACTGTTCACGGGCACAGTTGGTACTTCTCTCCTTTAGAGAAAATCCTTTATTATCAACAATTCTCACCATTCCCTTGAGTTGCCTGATCAGCAAGAATTTCAGTATCACCACAGGGCTCTCCATCTCCTCTTCTCCCTTCCATCTGAAGAAAGAAGCAGGCGTGAAACTGAAATTAATTTTTATCCTGAGGTCCAAGGTCTAAAATACACTGATCTTTTCTTTCCAGAAGTGTTGTATTTGGCAAGTTTTTGATAGTCTACGGAGCTGGATGACAGGAGGGAAGGGAGACTTGTCAAATATGACCCTGCATCTATTTTAGAAAACAAGAGAGATTCTGTTTCTCATTCCTAGCTCTATTCTTTCAGAGTCTGAAGAGCTGAATGGAGGGGGTAGAACTTGGGTTGGGTCCTGATGGATGGTTAGGATTTGGAGGAGAGGAGAAGAGATAAACATGCTCAGAGAGGGAGAGGAAAACAGTATGGGCAGGAATGAGTTAGCAGAATGTGAGGAAACAATGAGGAGACAGATTAAGGCAGATATGAGATTGTGTATTGGGACCAATAGGCAATAAGATTGGATAAATAATACAAATATTCATCAAGCTGAGATTCACAAAGATTTTCCTTGCAACAAGCTTATGAGGTCTGTAGTGGAAATATAACTGTGCAATTTTATAGATCATAGGTTGTAGGGCTGAAGGCACTTCACAGATCATCCAGTACAACCTCCTCATTTTATAGACAAAGAAAACTGATTTCCAGACAAGTTAAACAATGTGACTAGTGTTGCGCAGGTAGTTAATAGCAAAGCCGGGATTTAAACTCAAGTTTAAAATGCTGTTTCCTTTCCTTTCCAGCCTTGTCCAATTAATATATTTTTTCATTAACACTGCTCTTTGGGAATATTCCATTTTTTTTTTTTAGGCAATTGGGGTTAAGTGACTTGGCCAAAGTCACACACAGCTAGTAAGTGTCAAGTGTTTGGTCTGAGGCCAGAATTGAACTCAGGTCCTCCTGACATCAGGGCCGGTGCTTTATCCACTGCACCACCTAGCTGCCCCTACTTTGGAAATATTTCAATAGGATAAGATATAAGCCAAATATTCCTCAGACCCCTTGATAAGCTTCACATAATTCTTAGGGATATATGAACCCCTGGTGTAGAAGGTATTATTTGAACTTTGTCTTTAAGGAAGAGAGGGATAGCCAGTGCAAAGGTACAGAGTGAGATAATAAATGTACAATGCTTTGTCAAGTTTAAAGTCAAGATTCTTTTTTTTTCTTTTTAGGCAATTGGGGTTAAGTGACTTGCCCAGGGTCACATAGCTAGTAAATGTCAAGTGTTTGGTATGAGGCTGGATTTGAACTCATATCCTCCTTACTTCAGGGCCTAGCTGCCACCTAAAGTTAGGATTCTTAAGTGCCATTTCTGAAGTTTCTGCCTTACTTCTCCCGCTACCATTGATACTGCTGTCAGAAACTGTTATTGCTTTTTTCATAGGGAGACATCCTCCTCCCCAAACCCTCCCAACAACATACCCTCAGGCAGTCAACACATTGGAAGCCCTGTTGGCTTCCACCAAGCTGTCACTCCAATGGGATGCCAAGTGCTTTGAGAATGTTGATTTATTTCTCCTCACATAAAGTTCTCCAGCTCCTACTCTTTGCTGAATTAGGGTGACTGAATTCCATTCTCTTGTTCCCCTGCTTCATGATGCTAGCAGCCTTCTACCTACACAGAAGGATCAGTGCCTTCTGTTGTATTTCTTTAAGGCTGAGAATATACCCCAATACCCCATTTCCTTTAATCTTTTTAGCTTCTATCAAGTCCCAGGCACAAGCCACTGCCAATTTTCAATATCAACCTTCTCCAAGAAATGGCCCCAGGTTCAAGGTACTCTATGGGCCACATTCCCTAAAAGCATAACTTAGGATCCCCTCCATATATATACATATATATATATATATGGTAGCAAAAAAGTTTCTCCCATCATCTTGGGGCAGACTCTTTGACCAACTGACATAACGTCAGTGAGAAGGGTGGATGTATACAAGGTATATCCCTGCTGGGTAGGGAGTAATATGTGGGGGAGCAACTCATTCCTCTGACACTGCAGGCCCACTGTCTTCTAATGATATCATTGTGCTGCTCCTGCTTAGACTGTTGCTTGCTGGTTCTATAGACTCTGCTGCCTCCAGCTTCAGTCTCAGCTCAAATCCTTGGCTATTTCCTCCTTAAGGGAAAAGCAGGTGCCTCTATTCTCTTTTGACTTAAAGCCTCTTCCTAGTTCTTTTATTTTTATTATTATTATTTTTTTGTCTAGCAATAGGGTTAAGTGACTTGCCCAGGGTCACACAGCTAGCAAGTGTTATGTGTCTGAGGCTGGATTTGAACTCAGGTCCTCCTGAATTCAGGGCCAGCGCTCTATCCACTGTGCCACCTAGCTGCCCCTCCTAGTTCTTTTAGAAAAGGCAGAAACCCTTGTTTGGGACCTTCAAAAAGCTTTCCCTTGGGTTTTTCTGTTTTATCCCCATACAAGGTCTTGGTTAGAGGCTTCTCATCTCTCCAAGAAGACATTCTCAGCCCCAGGTGACTAGTTCAGGTATCAGCAAACTCAGGTCTGGTCACTCTTTTTGTGTCCTCCCTAAGAATAGTTTTTACATTTGTAAATAAAGTATTGTTGTATTTTAAATTATAAAAGTTAAAAAAGAGGAGGTGGCCAGACTGGCTGTACTTGGCTCAACCCTATTCTAGAACAAACAGTAGGATCCTTCCAATTAGCAAAAAAGCCTTAGTGTTTCTATTTTTCTTTGGACTCCTCTTCCTGGTTCAGTAAGTTAGGTATTGTTTAGAGAGTAAATACTAGCTTGTGGCGAGTATTACATTTATCTCCCAGTTTTAATCTTTAAAAGCTGTAGTCTAGCTGCTAGACTATAAACCAGGTCATGGTTTTTGGTAGCTATGTAACAACTCTCTGTAGCTGGTAGTTAAGGTTTTCCTGGTTTTTGAATTCTAAGGTTCTTCTTTTTTTCTCTTATAAGACTAGTGGGTGGGGGAAAGGGAGAAAGACAATTCCAATCCCAGGTAGCAAGCTTCCACTACTTGTTCAGTCACGTTCCAGAACTTTTCATCACCAGCCCTGGCCAAGACTCTGATATCTACACAGTTCAATAAATCTCAGGAAGGCATTAGTAACTCCCTTTCTAGACTTATTCCATATTACTTTCCCTTAGACTGTCAATAGCTAAGCTAAACCGATCTTTGTGCTCTTCCTCACAAATAGCACTCCTTCCATCTCCTTTGGACTGGTTGTTGCCCATACTTATAACGAATGCTTTGCCTCCTTACTTCCCCCTTTAAGAGTTCCTAATTTCCATCAAGACTAAGCTCAAACACTGCCTTCTGCATGAAGTCTTTCCCAAGGTTCTTTGCTCTTTGCTGTTTGTGCTTTTCCAAATTAACCAGGATCTAATTTGACACCTAGTATGTATTTTGTATATATACTTATACTGATACGTATCCCTGGCTAGAAAGTAAGTTTCGCTTTTGTTTTTGTATCTCCTATTTATTAATGCTTATTAGTGTTCAAGAATGCTTGCTAATTGATTGATTGCAGTAGAAAAGCAGTTACCATTGTGGAAAAAGTTATCCTTTCCCCCCTTTATAATCATCAAATTAAAATAGGATAGTTGTGTTTATATTATTTTCCCCATTTATTAGCTTGTAAGCTCCTCCAGGGCATGGACTGTATTTTATTTCCTCTTTGTATCCTATTGCATTGCACAGGGTGTTTCAAAAGTCTTAAGACAGTTTTAAGCTCTTGCAGCTATTAAAAGCTCAAAAATCCTTCAAGATTTTTGAGACACCATGTATACTGGTATATATATTTATAAATATATTCACATACACATATATGCATTTGTTGTTGTTCAGTCATTTCAGTCATGTCTGACTCTTTGGGAACCAATTTTTGGGGTTTTCTTGGCAAAGATACTACAGTGGTTTGCCATTTCCTTCTCAACCTCCTTTTACAGATGAGTAAACTGAGACAAAGAGGGTTTAAGTGACTTACCTAGGGTCATATATCTAATAAGTGTCTGAGGCCAGATTTGAATTCAGGAACATGAGTCTTCCTGACTCTAGGCCCAGCACTACATCCATCATGCTAGCTAGCTACCCCTTATATTGGTATATATAGATATAGCTATATGTGCGTGTATATACATATATATATATATGTATATATATGTGTGTATATATATATATATATACATACACACACATATGTACATATATACCTATAGATATAGATAGATACAAATATGGATATGTAAATACAGATAAATATATAGATATATAGATAAAAATAAAGATAGCTAGATATTCTATCCTATTCCATACTATGCATACTGGTATATTGGTATACACCATGTACAAAGCAAATGTTTGATAATGGTTTTTTGAGTAGAATTAAACTGAATTAGATTCCCTTTTCTATGACCCCAGTCTCACTAAGAAAATGATTAGATTTTCCTAAAGACTTGGTTTTCCTTTTAGAGTATGACTTGCTGAACAGCTGACTTGCACATTCTAACCCTTGGCCAGCATGGGTCTTGGTATATACATTATTGACTTAACTTCCTGAATTATCAATCAATCTCATGTGAGTTCTATTAGCAAATAATCCTGATGGCCCCTATGTGGATTGATAAAATCCAGCTCCTGATTTTTTTTTAATGTGAATTTTACTTTACATGAGGGCCAAACTCTTGTTCTTTGGTAACTCCACCAAAATATAGCCACTCTATAAAGCTCTGTCTGAGAAGTTTTTCAGACAGCGTCTGCTTCCCTTTCTAATCAATTAATTTATTAAGCAACAAGCATTTATTCCTGTGTTTCAGACACTATCCTAGGGTCTGGTCATACAAACACAAACTGTATTGAAATGATGCAATGTCATCCTTACACATCCTGACCCTTAGCTCCAAACAGAGTACCTAGATACCACAGTCCCAGAGTACATTCCTCTCAGGAGGCCAGACAGATAGGAGTTTGAATGGACAGGGCAAAGAGCACTTGAGAATGATTGTGGAATAGAGCTCCATGGCCAGAATAAGTCCTTTGTGTGAGGGGTTTAGGGAAATAACCGAGAATGATATTGTGGGAAGAACAGTGAGTCATGACAGAAAAGTCCCCCTATTCCTGCCTTGGCTCTTTGACTAATTCATCATGTGACTTTGGGTGAGCAGTTCACTTTTCCGGGACTCAGGTTCCCGTAGTGGTCAGGAGAGGGTTTCAGAGAAGATAATCATTAATGTCCTTTCTTGCCTACAAATTCTGTGGATTTTTAAATGATCTCTGGGCTACCAGCCATTTGGTAGCAAAGAAAAATAATTCAGGGAAGACAATTGCACAGCTTCCTGGCCTGAATTATTTGTGGAGTACTGAATCACATTCACTCATTAGTTATCAAGGAGCTGGTCCTTTCTTCAAACAGAGCAGACAAGTGAATGGTAGATAAACGATCTCTCCCTTTCACAGAGGACTTTTGGGAGCCCTATAACATCTCTGACCTTGTTCGATCTGCCCACAACAATCCTGTGAGGGAGCTACTTGGCTTTACAGGGTGAAGATCAAAATTCAGAACTTGTGACCCAGACCAGATCTAAGTGAGGAAGTCAGTGGCAGAGTAAGCCCTTTAATCTAACTTTTCTACCCAAATTCTGTGCTTTTTCCATTTTGCCACAAGCACATACACGATGAGCATGTACACACAGATACGTACACGAGCATACACAGGAACACTGGAGCACACACATAGGAGCACATACATGAACACACAGACATGAACATGCATGAACACACACAAACATCGGAAGCACTCATGAGCACACATAGGAGCCCACACAAACACACAGGAGCACATACACAAATACACAAACATGAGCACACACAGCAGTCCACCCGCTAACACACATTAGCACACACAAGTGCACACACATGAGCATACCTACTTCTGAACACACAGACTCACCACAGTGCTGGTGAGCCTTGTTTTCTGTCACTGATGTCTGTGAGTTGTTAGAAATTTCCCTATTGCTTGGATGCGTTCCACTGAACATCAGGTCCCCAGATGTATTCAGCATAATCTTTGCTCTCTTCTATAAACTTTTCAACAGAAAATGGTCTGAAAACACAGTTCGTTTTGTGGGAGCCGCCCTGACACAGTATAATGTTTGCTGCTGGCTCTGAGACAGTCAGCTACAGAAACAGGAAGTCTGGACCTCCCTGTTTACATCTCGAGCCAAGGCAGCTGTGAAAGTGATAGCTCACTTTACCTTAGTTAAACATGGAGAATTCTCCATGACATCTTTCAACGTGGATTGAGGTCTGGCTCTGGAACTTACTAGGTACATATCCTTGGTCAATTCACTCTATGGCTCTAAGCCTCAGTGTGATCATACGTAAAATGAGGATAATACTTGTCCTGTTTATCTAATAGGGACATTGTAAGGATCAAATCAGCTCATGTGTGTGAAAGCACTTCCAAAAATTTGTGTTAAATAGTGGTTGGTCATTGCACTGAATAGAATTCTTGAATGAAAAGGGAAGAAAGAAGGGAACAGGCATTTATTAAGCACTTACTGTGTGCCATGCACTGTGATAAGTACTTTATAAACAGTATTTCATTTCAGCCTCATGACAACCCTGTGAGGTTCATAGGTGCTGTTATTATCATCCTTATTTTACAGTTGAGGAAACTGAAGTTAAGTGACTTGCCCAGGGTCATACAGCTAGTAAGGATCTGAAGGTATATTTGAATTCAGGTCTTTCTGACTATGGATGTGAAGTGGAACCTCAGAGTTATTTGAGTTTGCATTTCTCTAGTTATTAGTGAATGTAAAACATTTTCCCATAAAGCTATGGATAGCTTGAATATCTTCTAAAGCATTTGTAAATGCAAAATAATTATTATTGCAATCTCTACCAAAAGTCCTCCTCTGACATTTCATCGTGGTATGGAAGCAGCTCTGGGTTTCCAAAGAATCTCCCAGTAACACAGAATCTTGAGCAGGTAGCTGTGAGGCAGAGATGAAGTCTTCCATGTTACTCAGAACTTCTCATTTTCAGCCTTTCTTGTAACATAATAGCATTTCATTACACTCTATGTAAGCTACAATTTGTTCAGCTATTCCCTAATGAGCAGGCACCCATTTTGTTTCCAGCTTTTTTGTTACTACAAAAAGACTGCTGTGACTATTTGGACAGATTCAGGTCACTTCGTTATGTCTTTGACCTCCCTGGGATTTATATCAATGAGTAGGGTTGTTGGATTAAGAAATGAATAATTTAGGGGCAGCTAGGTAGCAAAGTGGATAGAGCAACCGCCCTGGAGTCAGGAGAACATGAGTTCAAATCCGGCCTCAGACGCATAACACTTACTAACTGTGTGACCCTGGGCAAGTCACTTAACCCCAATTGCTTCACCAAAAACAAAAAACAAAAACAAGAATATGAATAATTTAGTGACTTTCCTCCCATCGTTCTAAATGAAGACTACATTAATTCAAACAGACACAAATGGCATGCCACTGTTGCAGTCTGAGAGGTTTAGAGACTCCTCAAAGAACAGAGTACAGGACAGGGTTGTCTGGAATGAATTCACAGACTCAGGCATTCTTTAAGTCAAGGTGGCAAAGATTTATTGTTACTCTTTTCAGTGGGCAAGGGTTCCTAAGAAACCTGCCATGGTGGCCAGAGCTCTTTAGGGAACTTGCAACCTAACAGGAATGATGCTAAAGCTTATATAGGAAAAGCAGTGGATTGTGTGCCAAGTATGCTAATTAGGTGATAACACACAATCTTGGTCACAGGCATCATTCGCTACTGGAAACAGGGTGGGGTGGGGGGAGGGGGTGGAGAAGAAGGTTCCTAAAGGGTATATTTTTGGTCTGTTATGTCTGTAACAACATAGTTTCAGGAATTGACGTCTATCGCTTGACCTCTGGATTGTATATGGTAACTGGGAATCAATACGTGATAGTTCTGCTGGTACAAGATAGTCCTGTTCATACAAGGGCAATTCTACAGAGGTCAGCTTGTTCTTGTAACAGGGAGAGATAATGAGATTTTGCCTCACTGGGCCCATTCATGAGTTATTGCCAGAGATAGGGTCTTTGGGCTGGAGGGAAACTGCCAGGGATAGCGTTTCTAGGGCCAGGAAGAAATTGAGATCCAAGCACAGGCACCCAAGCACCCCATCACCACCAGTCCTGGAGTTGCTGCTGTAAAATACCATTCTAAATGTATTCTGTTTCAGGAACTGAAATTGGAAGGGGTAGGGAGGAAATGACATAGCCTTGACCTGCTGGAGGCTGTTCAGAACTTCCTGTCTTTTTGCTCCTCTGGCAGCCAGCCATTTGTTCCCAGACTTATTTTTCAGGGCCCCATACGCCAAGGATCAGAGTGGGTGTTTGTCTTTTTTTAAATTTATGTCAGCTTGTCTCTGCCTTCAGCCGTGACAACTCAGCACACATCTGAGTAGCTTTCCCTTTGACATCCAGAGTTCACAATGTTACTCTACACTGCGGATATTATGAGACCCTTCATACAAGGCTGTTTTTAATATCTTGTCTTTGAGGGAGGAAAAAGAAGGCTGCTCTCAAGAACAGCCAGACAGAAGAGAGCCAATAGTCTTATTTCCCTGCCTCTGATCTTCTAAGGACTTACTTGGAAACTGCATTATCAGGAGTGGAGCCCAGGAAACTGAAGCCAAGCAGAAAGTGTCCGGAGCCAGATAACAAGGACAGAGGTATCTTGTATGTGTCTGTGTGAATAAGCTTGTGTGTGTTTGAAATGCAAACATTTTTGAAAGTTATAATTTGCTCAGAGCGAGCTCCAGAGTGGCAGGGCAGCTTCACTCAGACAGGGCAAAGGTGCCCTTTCTGGGATAATTTCAGGAGCCCTGAGAGGGTTTACAAAAATCTCTCCACCACCTGCTCACCTGGAATCCCTCTACTGAGGCAGAGCCTTTCATTCCACAAAGAAAATAGCTACTTAAAAAGCCTATCCTCCCGAGAGAGGAGGACTAAAGACCTTCAGGATAAATGTACATGAGTGAGGCTGAGACCTTTCCAGAGAGCAGAATATAGAGCAGGGTTCTTAATCTGAGATCCATGGATCCCCAGGGGATACATGTGCAGGTTTCAGGGGGCCCATGAACTTCGATGGAAAAAAATGGTATCTTTATTTTCAATCACCTCTAACGGATACATAACATTTCCTTTGATAATAAATGTAGGGAACAAAATATGATTCTGAGAAGGGGTTCATAGACTTTACCAGACTATTAAAAGGTCTATGACACGAAAAAAGCTTAAGAACCCCTGGTCTTAAGGGAGTAGGGAGTAGGGGGACTATGGTCCTGGGAGGGCATGGAGCAAAGAGCACTATGGGGAATAGGAAGGGGGAAGAAACAACATATAAACAAAAAATTCTTTGATCTAATAATTTTGCAGTCAGTTTTCTTTTGTTTGTCAGTTTTTGATCAGCAGCTTGAGGGAGAAATAGTAGCGGTTTGGCACTAAAAGGTTAATGCTTTAAGAGCAGCTGATTTCCTGTTTGCACAAATTAGCAAGTTTCATTTTGTACTAAGTGTGTAAATCACAGTCTGTGCACCGACCATTTAGTAAGCAGCTCTTTCTTCACACGTAGATACTAGTGCTGCCCAGAAGTGGACTGTGGGACATCTTAAAGCCTATGTGAAGCGTGAGGGGGATGCAAAATGAACAGGTAGGAAAGGTTTGGTCTCCCCTTTGAATGGTAGGGGACTCTAAAAAAAGAGAACTTTAGGACTTCAACAGTGAAGTAATGGTACCTCACAATGCCTGACAAAAAGATATAAGTGCAGTTAGCATAAATTGCCTGATGTCCCCTACCCAATCTCTGGGGGATGGGGGGGGCAGGAGTTAATTAAGAACTTTCCAGGCGCTATTCTAAATAAGAGGGATACAAATACAAAAAGAAAGAATCTGCTCTCCAGGAGCTTTCATTCAAAAAGGAAGAGAAAAGAATTTATTCAGGGCTAACTACATACCTGACGCTGCACTAAGGACTTTACATTTCATCTACGCAACAACATTGGAAGGTAGGTGCTATCATTATCTCCATTTTATAATTGAGGAAACTGAGACAAAGCTGATGTGACTTTCCCTGGGTCACACAGCTAGTAAGTATCCAAGGCTGGATTTGAACTCAGGTCTTCCTGATTCCAAGCCGTGCACTCTATCTGCTGTGCCACCTACCCGTCTCTAAAAAGAGAAAATAAAAACATATCAGGGAGTGGTAGCCAAGGAAGGGAGTTTTAGAGTTGATTTATAGAATATCAATATGATATACACTTTCAAAAATCAATGTGGGGCAGCTAGGCAGTGCAGTGGATAGAGCACTGGCCCTAGAGTAAGGAGGACTTGAGAGCAAATCCAGTATCCTTGGGCAAGTCACTTAACCTTCTTTGCCTCACTTTCCTCATCTGTAAAATGAACTGGAAAAAAAATGACAAGCCACTCCAGTATCTTTGCCAAGAAAACCCCAAATGGGGTCATAAAGAGTTGGACATGACTGAAAAATGACCAATCTATAACCATTGCACTGATGGGAAGATCAAAGTCCAAACCCTCTTAACCTTTCAAAACTTGCAAGGTCTTCTTCCACCCAAAAAGGGAAGGAAATCTAGGCTGACCACTCTCCTCCCCCACAAACAATTACTTCTCAGAGACAGTTTCTTTTCCTCTTAGTGATTTCAGCTAGCTTGATGGTCTTATACAGGCCCAGAGAGCATCACCAAGTCCCTCAGGCAATCTGAACACCTTGAGTGTTGCTATCTTATGAACAATTGAGATTCATTCTTATACAATAAATGTATCAGGGCTAAGCAAGGAGGGGGTGATTTAGACCTCTCTGTTGCATATAAAGAGCAACCATGCTGAGCATGGGAAGACAGAAAATTTATGGGGAATTGTGATCAGAACATTAATTTTAGAGCAGCTAGGTAGTGCAATGGATAGAGGGCTGGACTTGGAGTCAGGAAGACCTAAGTTGCTTTGCAGCCTCGGATATAGGTTATATGTGTGACTTTGGACATCATTTAACCAGTGACTGCCTCAGTTTCCTCATCTGTAAAAGTTGAGATAATAATAGCACCTATCTCCCAGCGTTGTTGTGAGAATCAAATGCACTTCATAAACTTAAAGCATGACATAAATGCTAGCTATTATATCATCATCATCATCATTAATTTTATATATAACTTAATTTAAAATTATTTTATGTATATAGATGGAATGAGCTGCCTAGAGGCCATAAGATCATATAGGTTTAGGACTTAAAGGGGCATTCGAGGCTATCTAGGATATATGTGCCTATATATGTGCACACCCACACACACATATCTCTATATTATATATATGTACATACACACATACACACCTTATGCTATGTGCCAGTGAGGAAAATTGACCCCTAGAGAGTTAAATACTGAATGTCAGAGGCAAGATTCCAATGCAAGTCCTGCACTAGGCTGTCATGCAGCAACCTCCAAACTTTACAGATGAGGAAACTGAGACCTAAGGACCCAGCATGGTGCCATAGTGCTTAGATTAGGACAGTTCAGTCTCCAGGGCTCTGAGTTCCCTAACATTCTGTCCTAAGATGCTAGAAAGGGGCATTAAGATCCAGAAAGCTACACCTCAAAGTTCTAGGGAAGCACAACTCTAGGTGGTGGTGTCAATCAAAAGAAACAGGGGCGTCTGGATGAGAAGATTCTGGGCAGCTACCCTCCCCAAAAGTTCATCAGAAGCCTTAGTCTGGTCCTTGGCACTAAGCTTTAAGTCAGGAACTGAAGCTAGAGAGATGATTTTAAAAAAAAACAGACTAGTATCAAAAATTATTGCAAATCTAAAGATTTCTGAGAAAGAATTACAATTGTAAGCAGAGACTCAAAGGGGAAAAATAGATTTTCCACTTACGATTTCTTCAAATATAGTATCCAAACTTTCTTTTATTTTTAAGTCTTGTTTTTCATGGAGTCCAGTATTCTTAAAATTCTCTTTCCTTAATCTGTTTTCCAAGTCAATTGTTTTTGACATAGGAAATGTTACATATCTTCTATTTTTTTGATCCTTGGATTTTATTCCAATATTTCTCACTCTCTCATAGAGTCATTAATTTTAGTTTGCTCCATTCTAGTTTTCAGGGAGTCTGTTGTTTCAGTAAGATTTTTCACTTTCTCATCTAAGCTACCTATTCTGCTTCCATTTTTTTTCCTCTAGAGCTTTTATTTCATTTTTTTATTCTTTTGCTTCATTTCTTCTAGGTATTCATGTAGTTCTTGTTTTGTTTTGTTTTTGAGAAAGGTGTGTTGTAAATCTTAAAGCACCACATAAATGTGAATTTTTGTTATTATTAATAGCAATAATAATAACTGCATAATATTAACAAAACATAGAATTTACAACCCTAAGGCATCTATGAAAAGGTCAGTACTTCTCTGTCAAAAAGGAAGAAAAGGATTGATAGATATTACCAAGGAACATGACAAACAGGTCAAAATTCTTCTGAAATATTTTTGAAATAAAAGTCACCATTACATCAAGCAGTAATAAAAGATGCTCCCAGATAGCTGGTTTTGGATTTGTCAAAACCTCTGATTAGTGCTAGAAATGAGTAAGACCTAGGAACAGAATAAAACATCTTCTGTGGACAAAGTCTGCATGAACATTGCCAACACCAAACAAATGGCTTATTCATGTAGATTGGTAGAAATGGAAGGCTTTATGATGGAATTCAAGACAAGTCATTGCTATCAGAAATCACAGAAGGATCCTCACTGATGCCTCTACTTCCCTTTCTCCCATTGTTTGCTTTTTTAAAAATTAATTTATTTTATCAACAATGACTTCCATAAGCTTTTGAGCTTTAAATTTTTCTCTCCCTCCCTATCCACCTCCCTCCCCAAGACGGCACACAATCTGATATAAGCTTTACACGTACATCCTTATTAAACATATTTTCGTATTAGTGATGTTGTAAGAATTAGAACCAATAGGAGGAACCACCAGAAAGAGGAAACAAAACTCAACAGAAGAGAAAAAAAAATAGCAAATAGTGTGCTTCGATCTGTATTCAAACTCCATAGTTCTTTCTTTGGATGTAGATAGCATTTTCCATCATGAGGCCTTTGGAGATGTCTTAGATCCTTGTATTGCTGTGAAGGGTTAAGTCTATCAATATTAGTCATTGCACAACATGGCTGTTACTGTGTATAACGCTCTCCTGGTTCTGCTCACTTTACTCAGCATCAGACCATACAAGTCTTTCCAGGTTTTTCTGAAGTCTTCCTGCTCATCATTTCTTATAGCACAATAGTATTCCATTACATTCATATATCACATTCACAATTATAATTACTATCTGTGTCTTTTTCTCCATCTCCTCCTCTTCCCCCCACAAATTTATGCTTTTCTTCCTCCTTTCTCCTTTTCCCTCCTCACTAGTGTTTGACTTTTGACTACCGCCTCCCTTCTATTATCCTCATCCTTTTTCTTCCCCTTTACCCTTACTACTTCTTCCCTCCCTTCTATGCTCCCTCCCTTTTCCTTTTCCCTTTTCCTTCCTACTGTCTATATGGTAAGTTAGATTTCTATACATAACTGATTATGTTATTCCCTTCTTGAGCCAAATCTGATGAGAGTAAGGTTCAAACAATGCTCATCTCCCTTCTTTTTTCCCTCTGCTGTGATAGGTTTTTGTGCCTTTTCCTGTAATAATTTACCCTTGTCTGTCTCCTCCTTTCCTTTGCTCTCAGTACATTTTCTTAGTTAGATCAGATTAATCCACTTACTTGGATACATTTAATCTACTTGATTAGATTTTTTTTTATCATTATAACAAAGTCAATTTATACCCACCCCCTTTATGTATACCCCTTTAACATGGTGTAATAACAATACAGTTCTCAAGGGTTATAAGTGTCATCTTCCCTTGTAGGGATATAAACAGTTTGCCCTTATTAATAACATGTTTCTTTCTGTCTGGTTTACCTTTTTATGTCTCTCTTGAGTCTTGTACTTGAAGATCAAATTTTCTGTTTAGCTCTGTTGTTTTTATCAGGAAGGTTTGGAAGTCCCCTGTCTTGTTGAATGTCCATCTCCTCCCCTGAAAGATCATGCTCATTTTCACTGGGTAGTTGTTCCTTGGTTGTAATCCAAGTTCCTTTGCCTTAAGGAATATCATACTCTGCGCCCTATGATCTTTTAATGTAGAAGCTGCAAGGTCCTGTGTAATCCTGACTATGTTTCCATGATATTTAAATTGTTTCTTTCTGGCTTCTTGCAGTATTTTCTCTTTGACCTGGTAATTTTGGAATTTGCTATTATATTACTTGATGTTTTCAATTTGGGCTGTCTTTCAGGAGGTGATCTGTGTGTTCTTTCTATGGCTATTTTACCCTCTGGTTCTAGGACCTCAGGGCAGTTTTCCTTTATGATTTCCTGAAAGATACTGTCTAGCCCTCTTTTTTTATTGTGATTTTCAGGTAGACTAATAATTTTTAAATTGTCTATCCTGGATCAATGTTCTAGGTCAATTGTTTTACCAATGAGGTATTTTATGTTTTCATCTATTTTTTCATTCTTTTGTTTTTGTTTGACTGATTCTTGCTCTCTCATAGAGTCATTAGCTTCCATTTGCCCAATTCTAATTTTTAACAAATTGTTTTCTTCTATTAGATTTCCACATTTGGCCAATTGTATTTTTTAGGGATTTGTTTTCTTTAGTGTACTTTTTTCCAGTTGGCCAATTATATTTTTTAAGGACTTGTTTTCTACAGTTAATTTTTGTCCTTCCTTTTCCAAGTTATTTGCTCTCTCTTGCATACCTCTCATTTCTTTTCCCATTTTTTAATCCTTCTTGAGCTCTTCTAAGAAGGCTTTTTGGGCTTCAGACCAGTTCATATTCCCTTTTGAGGTTCCACATGTGGGTTTGTTGACAATGTTGTCCTCTTCAGAATTTCTGCCTTGACCTTCACTCTTCCTGTAGTAAGAATCTATTGTACCTTTCTTTTTGCTGATGGTGTTTGCTTATTCTCTGGCCTTTAAAGAGATTGAGTTCTCTGGCTAGGCAGCAGAGGGCACTGACCCAAGCTTCTTGGGTTGGGAGCCTAGGGCCTGGTGTCCGATGCTGGCAGTTGGAGGCTGTAGGGTTCTGGCAACTTACCTGGTGTTGGGCTGGAATCAGCAACAGTGGAACTCTAGGGGTAGGATTGGGTAGTGTGGCCCCTGGAGACTTTCTGCTCACCCAGACCTTTTCTTTCCCTCCCTTTGCTTTCTTCAGCTCCTTTCAGATGTATGTTGCAGGATGTTTATCTTCCTGGGGCCCCTTGGAGTGTTGCTTCCCTTAGTTTTGCTGAGACACTAGGACAGCCAGTTGTTGTAGAATGCTGAGGCACCTGGTGGTTTTCCAAGCTGGTTTCCAGTGGTTCCCCACCCTCACTGAGGCACTTGGGGATCCAGGTGTTGGTGTTTGCCTGATCCACCACCTGGGTTTCAGGATTTCCTCCTGGTATGCTGAGGTGGGGCTTTCTACTAGCTTGCTGGGACACCTCCCTTTCTGTACTGCTTTCCTTCCCCCACAGTAAGACAGGCCTTTCCCATTAATCCCTCAAGCTACCTGGGCTACTGGACTGCTGCGTCCCATCTTTCTTCTGGTTCAGATGTTCTAGGGTTTTTCCTGGGGTGATATTTTTTGGGCTTTCAGAGGTTAATAAGGGAGGGTAAGAGTGACTTACTTATTTAGTGACTTACGTCTTACTCCACCATTTTGGCTCCCAGAAGCTGAAGTCTCCCATTGTTTTTTTGACTCTCAGTAGTATGGCTTCTGACTCTGTCATTCAACTGAAACTGGTCTCTCCAAAAATCATCAATGATCTCTTAATTGCCAATCTAATGATCTTTTGTCAATCCTCTGAAGCCTTTGATCACTCTCTCTTATGACACAACTCTCTCCTAGTTCTCCTCTACCCTGATTGTTCCTCCTTAGTCTCTTTTGCTGGGTATTCATCCATGTCAAGCCTGCTCATAGTCAAGTGTTCCGCAGGACTCTCTTCTGGGCCCCTTTCTCCCTCTATGCTATTTTGCTTGGTGACCTCATCAGTTCCCTTGGATTCACTTATCATCTTTATGTTGATGATTTTCAGATGTACTTATCCATGTCTAACATCTCCTGTAACTCACATCCCTAACTTCCTATTAGACATATCAAATTGGATGTCCCACAGACATCTTAGACTTAACATGTCCAAGACTGATCTCATCATTCCCCTTTCCCCCAAGTTCCTTCTTCTTTTAAACCTTCCTATTTCTATGGAGCGCATCACCATCATCCTGGTCACCCAGGCTCACAATCTAGGCATTATCCTTGATTTCTCTATCTGTTGGATATTAAGCATATCCATCTGTTAACGAATCCTGTTGTTTCTACCTTCGTAAAATCTATTCAATAAACTTCAGTGACTTCCTCTCATTTCCAGGATCAAATGTAAAACCTTCCACTTGGCTTTTGAAGCCTTTCACAATCTGCCATTTTCTGGCCTCTCTCCATGGATTCTATTATTGGTGACATCGTCTTCTTTGCTACTCCTTTCACAAAAATGCCATCTCCCCCATCTATGCATTTTACTGACTATTTCCCATGCCTGAAATTCTCTTCCTTCTCATATCTACCTCCTGGCTTTCCTGGATACCTTCAGATCCCAGCTAAAATCTCATCTTCTCCAAGAAGCCTTTGCAAATCCCCCTTAAATCTTGTGCATTCCTTCTGCTGATTATCTCTAATTTATCCTGCCTATAGCTTGATCAGACACGGTTGTTAGTATGTTGTCTCCTCCATTAGATTGTGAGCTTCTTGAGAGAAGGAACTATCATTTGCCTTTCTTTGTATCCTCAGCACTAGGTACAGTGCCTGACACATAGTAGGAGCTTAATAAATGCTTGTTGAGTAGACAACATGGCAATAGATTCTCTGTATCTCTCACTTAAGGGTAACCTATCTTTAGAAAGGCAGAGTGGTGGATTTTTCAGTCAAAGCAACTCTTGAAGACCATCTTCTAAGGCATGAGAGGGTCATAAACTGCTTAGTGGCAGACATCCCCTCACGGATGAATAATGCATTATGGAAGTAATGAAATAACCAATTTATAAGAGCTTTTGAACATCTACTAAATGTCTAGTATTAGACTAAATACTACAAGTGGTATTGAATATCAACAAAAGATGTCAGGTATTACATGATAACAGATCTAGAGCCAGAAGGGACCTTCTTGTTGAACTGAAATAATGTTAAATTTTTAACAATGGAATTTGCTATATTCCACATTAATTTAAAAAGTTCTATGTTTTTTGGAAGAAAGGAGTCTTAGAAAATACAAAATAAGTCCTTTTGTCAAAAAAGTTCATAAATTGTGTCATCTGGGATAACTTGTGACTGGAATAATCTGATACCATTTTGAATACTTTATTTCTCTCTCTTCTCACCACTCCAATTCAGAAATTTCAGCAAATTACAGACATGGATCACCCAGAAAAGCTACAAGACAGACAACAAGGTAAGCACAGGATGGGGAAGAGTTCTCACTTCGCTACAAATGACCTAGATGATGGTGGTTTTACAATTCTTTGCTACTATAAAAAGAGCTACCATAATTTTTTTTCATAGTGTCATTTTCCTTTTTCTTCCTCTTGGGGTACAGACCTACTACCAATGTCGCTGGGTCAAATTCTACACACAGTTTTGTAGTCTTTGGGTATAGTTCCAAATTGTTTTCCAGACTAGATGAATCATTTCCATAGGTCCATCAACAACACATTAATGTACCTGTTTTCCCTTATCATCTCCAGCATTTGTCATTTTCCTTTTCTATCATGTTAGCCAATCTGATGAGTGTACTCCGGTAATCTCTTTTTCTTTTCCAGGTTTCTGCCACAAGTAGTTACCGTACATAGTAGTTTTTAAACAAGTGTTTACTTTCTGACTTAACTGACAAAACTCTTTTCTCAGCAGGGCTCTCTTGCTTCCTTTTGATGATAAATCATTAAAAATGCCTTGTATAAGAGTGCCTTCTCCTCTTTCTCTACCCACCATCATGCGTAGTACAGATTTGACCACCTCATAGATTGCTTAATGAATGCCTTGTGAGTGGAATTAAACTGCAGTGAAATAGCATATACTCTCTTGTTATACTGATGGCCTCATGGAAGTCAGAGGGAATGACTATTCATGGGTCACTTTTGTGCCAACAGAGCCAGATGACAAAAGCCAGGAGCAGAAGAGAGAGCCAGAACTGCCCTCTGTATGCTCAGAGCTGAGAATTCTTCTCTTGGGGAAACATGGTGCAGGGAAGAGTGCAACAGGAAACAGCATCCTCAGGAAGCGAGTGTTTGAGTCCAAGTTCAGTGACGTTCCAGTGACCAAAACTTGCAAGAAAGAAAGTGGAACTGTGGGAAAGAGGGAAGTTGTGGTCATTGATACTCCTGATCTTTTCTCTCCAAACATCTCTACTGAAGAGAGGGAACAAGAGATCAGGCACTGCATCACCCTCTGTTCTCCTGGTCCCCACATCCTGCTCTTAGTGACTCCTCTTGGCCATCACACAGTGGAAGATAAAGAGATAGCGAAGGGCATCCAGGAGCTCTTTGGAGCTGAAGCCAGGAGGCACATGTTACTTCTCATCACAAGGAAAGAAGATCTGGGAGATGAATCACTTCCAGTGTATGTTCAAAACACTGAGTACCTGAAGGAGCTGGTTCAGAATTGTGGGGATCGGTATTGTGCTTTCAACAACAAAGTAGATGGGGAAGAACAGGATTCTCAGGTTCAGGGGCTCCTTGAGGACATTGAATTGTTGATGAAGCAGAAAGGTGGCCAGTGCTATGCTGAATTTAATGTGAGTGGAAGAAAGCAAGAAAATACTATGGACTCCAAAGCAGATATCTCACCAAAACTACCAGATACCCTAGAAAGGAAGGTAAGTACCTGAACGTAAGCATTGCATGGTTCAGAATAATAACCTCTCACATTTTAATGATGCTTTTAAGTGTAAGAAAGTATTTGTCATAGGATTTAGAAATCCAAAAGGACCTTAGAGATCATCTAGCCCAAGCCCTTCATTTTTACAGATGAGGAATTGTTCATTAAAGGTTAGTTGATTTGCCTCATGGCATAAAGGAGGTTTGACTCTGAGCATCTGAACTATCTTTGAACATCTTGGTTTTGTCTTACCTATAGACCAAGGCAGTTTGGAGATATTTGTTCTTATGAAGATCCACGTTTGAGAAGGATGTATCCATAGGCTTCTTTGATGTATTTCATTTTATTCCTTTCTTTACTTGTATGATTTTTAAAAACCCATACAAGTGTATACATATGTGAAAATTACACATGTACAAACACATATGTATATATGAATGTGTGTGCATGTGTATATATGTATATAGATATATAAATACATTTGAATGTATCTCTCTCTCTATCTATCTCTATCTCTACCTCTATCTCTATCTCTATCTCTATCTCTATCTCTATCTCTATCTCTATCTCTATCTCTATCTCTATCTATATATATGATGGAATAAATCCAGACACTAAATCCTTATATTAATAACACAAGCATTGTTACCAAAATGGGGTAGGGGAAACACAGGAGAGACAGCCATTTCTTTGAGAGTTGTAAAGAGTTTGGTGTTAACCCCAAGGGCCCTTGGCCATTTGATGGAGCACATGACCAGTGAGGGTGAAAAAGTGGAATTCTGGGAAAGAGCTGCTCTTTCTCCTTATTACTGAATAGGGTCAGACAGCTGGCCAAGAATGTCTTCTTTGTGGTTAAATATAAAATGAAGGTGTCAGACTGGATAATACTTAGGCAACAGCACACTGTTCCTATAGTCCAAAAGCTCTGGAGGGTAACGGTGAGAATAATAGTCATCATGTGTGGAGTCACTGGATATTTCTACCACATTTGAGAGCCCTTCATAGAGAGGTATGTGATAAGAAATCAAGGAAGAAGTAGATACAAGCAAAACCTCACAGGAGTGGCAATTTTTGAAATTCTCTCATGTCGGTCCTCTCCTTTCTGCAGTGGAGTCTGCAGTATGAGCAACACATGAATGAATTGTCTTTCTGCGTAGACCTAGCTGGCCTTGTGCTAGGCCAGAAGTCCTTAACCTGGAGTCCATGAACTTTAAGAAATATTTCAATAACTATATTTCAATATAATTGGTTTCCTTTGTAATCCTACTTATTTTATTTTATGCATCTAAAGGCACTATTCTGACAAGTGATCCACGAATTTCTCTAGATTGCCAAAGGGGCTTATGACACAAAAAAGTTAAGAATTCCTCTTCCAGACTCTTGAACATTTAGGAGGAGAAGTACTAGGGGTACTATTGATAACTTCTGGGACAATACGCTCTTCAGAAGCTTCAAATACTGATCTTTGAAGAGTGTTTTTTAAATTTTTGTTGCCATTCTTTGGAACATGATGAATTTGGTGATTCATGTGGGATGCTTCCCTCTTATTTTTCAGAGTTGTGTGACAGGAGTCAAAACACATCAAAAGGAACCCAATCTACCTGGTAAGACTACATTTTGAGTCTTGTCCTCATCCCTGAGTGTGTATCAATGCATCGCCTTAGGTAAAAGGAAGTAGAAAGAGGAACCAATTGCTGAGATAAGGTAGATCCTTAAATGCAGCATAACAACAACAATAATTCATATTTCTATAACAGAGGCTACACAGGGCAGTGGATAGAGTACTGGACCTGGAAGACCTGAATGCAAATATGGCCTGACACTTACTAGTTGTGTGACCCTGGTTAACCTCTATCTACCTCAATTTCCTGAACTGTAAAATGAGAATAATAATAGCATCTAGTTCTTAAGGTTGTTATGAGGACCAAATGAGATAAGTTGTTAAAGAAATTAACACAGTACATGGTGCATGGTAGGCACTTAATAAATACTTATTTCCTTCTTTCCTTCCTATAATAAATGATAAATAAATCCTCTCATGTTCTGCTGTGACATTACATTTTTTTTCTTTTCTTATTTGGTATTTAAGTTTATGTTTCTTATTCTTTTCTTATTGTGTATTTGAGTTGTAGAAAATTTTAAAACACAAAACCAAAAACAGAATAATCCAAATGAGCTACTAGTTAATGGGGTCATCACAGATTTCCATAGGCCACGAGGCTCATTCATACGGGTTGTTTAGAAGATGAGAAAGATGAGGTTGTGTGTGGACTTAAATTAGAGAAGTAAGGTAGACCAGCAGTACATCATGCTATGGATTCAGTCATTGTTGTAGACCTGCACAGAATATACCACCAGACCTCTGTGGATAAGAATAGACCAGTTTGAGTAGATGTCCCAAAAGAATTCTGGGCCACCTGCCACTTACCCTCTCAGTGCTCCAAGCAACCATAAGTTGCAATGCAGGTGCTAAATTGCATTGGTAGTGGGTGTTTCTTCCCCGGGATTCCTTATACTGATGAAATCATCGGTTTGGTCCCCCCAATTTGCTGTATGTATTATAGTTATGTAGATTTCTGTCTTATGGGACTACAGATGCTGTATGAATGTGAGTATTGTTTTAGCTAAACTCTGTTTAGCATATGGCACAAGGCTCTGCACACTGGTTTTTGATGTGTTTGTTATTTGACTTGACTGACAAAATGCTTCACTCACTGAGGCAGGGCTGTCTTGTCCCCTTTTGATGATAAATCCTTAAAATGCCTTGTATAAGGGTACCTTCTCCTCTTTCTCTACCCACCATCATGCGTAGTACAGATTTGACCACCTCATAGATTGCTTAATGAATGCCTTGTGAGTGGAATTAAACTGCAGTGAAATAGCATATACTCTCTTGTTATACTGATGGCCTCATGGAAGTCAGAGGGAATGACTATTCATGGGTCACTTTTGTGCCAACAAAGCCAGATGACAAGAGCCAGGAGCAGGAAGAGAGCCAGAACTGCCCTCTGTATCCTCAGAACTGAGAATTCTCCTGTTAGGGAAATATGGTGCAGGGAAGAGTGCAACAAGAAACAGCATCCTCGGGAAGCGAGTGTTTGAGTCCAAGTTCAGTGACGTTCCAGTGACCAAAACTTGCAAGAAAGAAAGTGGAACTGTGGGAAAGAGGGAAGTTGTGGTCATTGATACTCCTGATCTTTTCTCTCCAAACATCTCTACTGAAGAGAGGGAACAAGAGATCAGGCACTGCATCACCCTCTGTTCTCCTGGTCCCCACATCCTGCTCTTAGTGACTCCTCTTGGCCATCACACAGTGGAAGATAAAGAGATAGCGAAGGGCATCCAGGAGCTCTTTGGAGCTGAAGCCAGGAGGCACATGTTACTTCTCATCACAAGGAAAGAAGATCTGGGAGATGAATCACTTCCAGCGTATGTTCAAAACACTGAGTACCTGAAGGAGCTGGTTCAGAATTGTGGGGATCGGTATTGTGCTTTCAACAACAAAGTAGATGGGGAAGAACAGGATTCTCAGGTTCAGGGGCTCCTTGAGGACATTGAATTGTTGATGAAGCAGAAAGGTGGCTAATGCTATGCTCAATTTAATGTAAATAGAAGAAAGCAAAAATATACTAAAGATTCTGAGGCATATGTTGCCAAACCTACTAAATGTCCTAGAAATGAAGCCAAGAATCTGAACCTAAACCTTACATTGTTCCCAACAATCTCTCACAGTTTTAACTCAAAAAGAATTTATTATGGGATTAAAAAAAACTAAAATGATCCATTTTAGCCCTTTATTTTTACAGATGAACAACTGATAGCTACGAACATTAGCTGAGTTACCAAAGATCACATAGTCATAAGTAGAAGGGTCCCCTAAGCTATATTCTGTACTCTTTGCACTACGTGCTTTTGCTTCTATTGCATATCCATAATATGAGCTACCCTCAGAAGGATCCCATGGAGACTGGAAGGTTACAATTATATTTCTTTCTTGTATGCCAAATGCAAAAAGTAATGTAAAGACATGTGAAAGACTCCACTCAGAGTCACACAGGCAGTAAGTGGTAGAACAAGGATGAGCACCCAGGTCTCTCAGCTCCATATTTGCTGGTCTTTCCCCTACTTTGCCTTAACTGATGAGTACATTGACCTTTTGACTGGAACAGCATTATTTCCAAGATTTGTGCCTTGGAGTTTCCATTGCATTCCTGTAATGTTACCTTTTTAAGCTTCTGGGGCATCTATCTTTGAATAGACCTTAGACTAACTTAGAAGATGTGATAACTGGCACAAGTTGGTTCTGTCACTGAAGGGAGACGGGCAATTGAACAAGTTACTTTTCCTTGTGGGCTTCAGTTTCCATATTTAAAAAATTCAGAGACTAGCCTGGGGGATACTTAGGCTACAGAGCATTGTCCCTATAATACTAAGTACAGGAGAACAGTGGGGTTTAGAACCTCAATTATCCCTTATGGATATCCTTCAGAGCTCCTACCACAGTTGAGAGCTCCTCACAGAGAATCAACTGAGAACAATCAACATAGAAGAAATTCTAGGAAACACTTCAGATGGGAGGTAGATTTGAGGAGTCTTTGTATGCTTCTGCATCTATGGTAAGGCAATGTGGTATTGCAGAAAGAGATTTAGACTTAGCAGAGGACCAAAGATGAAACACAGCATTTTGACACTCCCATTCCCTTCACTGGTAGGGCCAGCAGGAACATTTATTAAGGTCTAGCTGAGCTTTCCTTAGGATCTGAAGCTTTAGGTGGACAGGTTCCATGAGTATAGGCTGTTACTATCTGTAGCACCCAGGATAGCCTTGTGTACTTTGGGATCCTCAGCTACTGATCTTGGAAGAATCTTTTTATTTCCATTTGCATTCTTCAAAGGCAGAAGAATTTGACAATTCCCATGGGCTGTTTCATCCCCTTCTTTTTCATAAATGTATAAATGAGAATGAAATTCATCAAAAGAAAGTCAACTTACTTGGTAAGACCATCTCTAAATTCCCAGCTCCAATAGGCTGCATTTTTTAAAAGTTAATTTATTTTTATTTTACATTTATTATCTCTCCCTTTTACTGCCCCTCACAATTTAAAAAAATTTGAATGAACAATTAAAAAAACCCTCATAACAAATATGTACAGTGCGATACAATAAATTGTCACGTTGGCCATGTCATCTCACAAGAGGTAGGTGCTGTGTTTCTTCTTTGTTCCTTTGGTAAGTCTACATTTCTTTCTGTGATGTCACATTGTCTTACTATATAGAGGCATAGATCTCCAATTTCCCTATGATCCAGCAATATAAAATAGTGTTTGCAGTTGTAATTCTCTACTGGTGTAGGAACTCCCAAAGAGAAAGGAAATAATACTCACCTTCTAAAGCAAAACTAGAAGCACTATGAGCATTGTAATATGACAATTTTCTCCCAGGAGACAGTGAGAAGAATTCTCTCTAATTGCCTTTAGGGTAAATTATAATGAATTCATGAAGACTTTACAAATTAATGAATCTTGAGGAATTTAGTGGATGAGAGACACATGCTGCCTAGTAGATAGGCATAAAGAAAAACAATAGGATAAATGTATGGAAAATTCTTTTTTATCTGTAATTTCAACAACTAGAGAGCTCAAACAATTTCATTTTCCTTTGCCATTTATAGTAGAAAATGATAGCTGATATTTTCTAGTAATGGTCCTTAAGAGAATCATCAAATAATTTCAATAATGTTTAACATGGTTTTCATTGCAGTATATCTTGGTGTATTCTAATTTTACAAAAACTGGTAATATATGATGGCATATTTCTGATCACTTTCAGGTAATCAAGACAAAAGCACACTCTATAGATCGTTATTTCAGCAAAATATTTTGCAGTAACCTAATTAATAGGTTGTAACCAAACCCCACCACGAACTCTCAAAAACCTAATGTAATGTGCCAGTGTGTCAACTGTTCCTTTGGAACTCTCTTGTAGTGCTACTTTGCCTGACTGTGGTAGAAAGGGCTTAGCAGTATTGAGTTGTCTAGATCATCCTGTTTCCTGATTGAGAAGGAATTTGTTATTGTTCACGTGACATGGAACTTAACAATAAGGGCCGAGTCCTTGGAGCATGTACATTTGGTGAGCTTGTTTCTAGAAGTACACAATGTGGAATGGAGGGGTCCAGTTCTCCACTTAAGAACATGTGCAGTTATATTCTGGGGCTCTTTCCTGTCTGCTCACTGATTAATGGGGGGTGGGGGGGGAGAAGGCCACTTGGTTGGGTGCTGAGTCAAAAGTGAGAGTGCATGCAAAAGGCCCCAGTGGAGAAACTCATTCTCTTTCTTTCCTACTAGATACAATGTGTAATGACTCTTAGCTTCAGAGGGCCCTGAGATATAGGCTTGCCACCAGACACATATATATGGTTCCAGGACTGGTTGCTCATCAGGTGTTCCCATTACATTGAAAATAGGAGGGTATATCTTCAGCCAGAGAAGAGGAAATATTAGAGGAGACATGTAAACTGGACCAGCAAAGCAGCATTTGAGAAATAGAGAACACATGGACAGTAGCATTTCCAATGAGGACATGATTGTTAATCTTTCATATGTTTCTTCCCACAGATATGCTGAGCCTCATCCTTGTAGGGAGAAGTGGGACTGGGGAAGAGCTCAACTGGGAACACCATTATTGGGGAGCATACTTTTGTAGCCAAACTTGCTGGAAAATCAGTCACTACAACCTGTCAGAATAAGGACAGAACCTGGAAAGAGAAGACTATTATAGTTGTTGATACTCCATCCTTTGACCTTACCCTGGCTAGTGAAGATCTTCTTTCTAAACAAGGGAAAGAAGTCGTTCGTAGCCTTTGCCTATCTCCAGGAGCCAGAGTCTTCATTCTGGTGATTCAGCTGGGCAGGTTCACTCAAGAAGATGAGAAGAGCATTAGGGAACTAAAAGCCGTATTTGGAAATGAGATCACTGAGCACATGATTGTGCTCTTCACCCGGAAAGAAGATTTAGGTACTGGAACACTGGAAAATTACATCCAGACTTCAGATAATCAACCTCTTACAACGCTAATTAAACAGTGTGGAAGCAGAGTTTGTGCTTTTAACAATAAAGAAAGTGGTCTAGCCCAAGAAGAGCAAGTTAATGAGCTCTTGGAAATGGTGGATAAACTGGTCCAGAGTCATGGAGGCCAAGGCTATGCTTTCAGTTATAGACCTGAGACTTACACCAGAAGGATTGAAGATTTCCGGAGGAAACATTTATTCAAGACAAGAGACAAATTGGTATATGAGAAGAATTCATTTTTTCTGTAATCCAGTTGGTTCTTGCTGTGCCTGATGACCCATAAAATAAGGAGTACCTCAGGACATATGGTGAGGGCATTCTTGGGGACAGTCAGATAGGTGGATTTATTGGTTTATTGTAATGCTGGGGTGTGGCTAGCATCAGATTGTAAAAAATAGAAGGTGAAAAATTGAAGCAAGTTTTGAGGAAACAGACTTAGGGTCAAAACTAGGTTGTGAGTTGCAGTCAGGTAGGTAAATTGGAAAGAATCTGGACATGCATGAAATTACAAGTGGCAAGGCAGTAACCATTTGAAAAGGACTCAAGTATCAGACAGCCAACCGAGGAGGGGGCGATACAAAGTCTAGGGAGACAATCAAGAAGGAAGAGATATGCAAGTGTTTTCAGGGCAAGGGAAAGTGAGCAGAGGGACAGATCTGAGGCACCAATAACAAAGAAATACTTTGATTATGGAGACTGATTTTTCTTCTTCAAGTTGATAACTGTTCTATGGGGGCTCGAAATCATCACAATATAGCTGGCTTAGACCAAGCAGATCATGGGGAACACTTAGTCCATGCGGCAAGTGTGTGGACAGAGAAGAGCATCACCTTCTGGAAAGAAGATTTTAATATAAATCGATATTTTGATTCCTCTTTCCTGTTGGGCTATGATCTATATTAGCATAACCTGTGACTCAAAGTCCATTTGCATAAGACTCTGCTCTTTGGTGGAGATAATGCTTCACATCTGCATGAAGGATAGTGTTGGTGAGAGCTTGGGAGAAGAGAGAATGTGCCTTCTGGCTTCCAGTTTCAAGGGAAGAAGACATGGGATTCCAGGCTCCTTTTAGGTCTCTGAAGAGAGAGAAAGACTGGGAAGAAGCTGACATGTAAAGGACCTGGCAACTTCTATCGTGTCCATGTCCCCAGTTTGCTACACTGGAAACTTTGGGGAATTTCCCATTGAGTGAGATCTGAGACTCTCTCTCTTTCTCCCTCCCTCCTTCTCCTCTCCCCCCCCCCTTCTTCTCTCCCTGTCCCTATTCCTTTCTGTGTCCCTCTCTGTATCCTCTCTCTCTGTCTCTCTGTCTCTAACTCTGTCTCTGTCTCTCTGTCTCTGTCTCTCTCTCTCTCTCTCTCTCTCTCTCTCTCGCACACACACACAGACACGCACACACACACACGCGCATGCACACACACACACTATCTCACTCCCAATGGGAAAGCTCAGTTACTCAAATTCTGTGTTATATATTGTCATATGTATACTTCCTCTGATTTCTATTTGCTACCGGCTTAGATAGCCATCTTCTTTGTGTATTCTTTGTGGAATGAGTCAAGATTTTGGATATATAACTTGGAAAACTCCTTCCCTGTTAAATGATACCAACAAGGAGCTTAGCTTGAAACTAAAAACAATTTTCCATATACTAAAAATATTTTAGGGGAAGATGAGTATAGATGTAGCCTAGTGATATTTTTCTGAGAGAAGCAGAGTGGCCAGCCTCTGGCCCCAAACCTCTTGCTCCTCTCCTGGCAGTAATCAAAGAGATTTCTTTAGAGATATCTATTTCATTTTGTGATAGATAAGAGGGAAAAGCTTTGCTGGTAGAGTTCCCCTCTCTTTCCTTAGTATCTTCTTGAGACTCATGAACATTTCAAGACAATTGTCAGAGCTAGGGCATGACAAGAATTAAAGGGGCAAATGAGAGACTCGATCTTGTTCCCCTAGCCTCAGTAGAAGGTTCTGCTTAGTCAGGGAGGGAGGACTCTGCCTGTACTCCAAGGCAGGGAGAAGGTGAATTGAGTTCAGTCTGACTCAGCCAAAAGTAACGGTTAGGGGCTTTCCATTTAGAGGAGTAATTAATGAATTATAGCCACCTGAGCAATATCACATGGGTGGTGATGCTAGGTAAAGTGAAGCCAAACAAGCAAAGACAGAGATGAAAGTGTATTGACCAACCTCAAGGAACATGGCCTGTGTGGTCCCACTCAGTGGAAGCAAGGACACTTTTCCAAAGCTATATAAAGCAGGATCACCAAAGAGCCTTTAGGGCCTCAGCCCTTATCTTAATCTTAATTCAGTGAGTCTTACTTAAGAAGCCAGAGAAAAGGCAGAATGCAGGGGATGTGGTGGAGGGCAGTGGCAGTGCAGTGGAGAAACACATGAAGACAGCTGTGGAGGTAGAGAGTAAAAATAGGGTGCAACTTCAGCAAATGACAGCTGCAGATCAAGAGCTCCAGTGGATGACATCTGCAGGGGACAACATTTCAGGAGGTGACAATGGTAACGGTAATAAGCAGTGGCACAGGGCAGAACTTCAGTGGAAGCAGAGTTGAGCAGCAAAAGGAAGGAAGCTCTGGGACCACAGGAAGCAGCATCAGCACCAGAAGGGAGGCATCAGCAGATGCTGGGAATATAGTCATCTGAACTCAACTTGTAGAGATTTTCTTCTGTGAAGCGAGGTAGATGGCATTGAGGCCTTAACTCCTCTCAGACTACGAGCTTTCCTGCAGATTTTTTTCCCTTCTCCACACTGGCACCCCTGTGAGTCTGTAGAATATTATGTTCATTTATGTATGGGGACTGATATTGATTTGTGTATGGAATCTGAACAAATTAATACATTATATTTTTCTGTTATTTCTTTTTTTTATTCCCCTAGATAACAGGTATGGGGGTTAGGCTGGAAGTAGGATCTGGGGGACCAAGGCTAGTTTCCTGGCTCATAGGCTTCTTGGAGAAGAAACCACACTGTGAGCCCCCAGCTTTCCAGAAATGACTAAATGAAGCCTCACCAGAAACCAAACCAAGTGGGGTGTAACCCCAATCTTCTTTGCCCAAAGCCATTTGTTCTGATTGCTAGCATCCACCTCCCTTGCCTCTACCCACTGGCTTCTAATCTACCATTGCTGTTTCTGCCTTCCTGAGTAAGGCAACGTTGTTTAGGACTAGTTTAAATGAGATTTTGGACTGAGTATTCCCTATTATACCTCTCAAGAAACTTGAGATGTTTTCAATGTGTGTTGTGGGAATCAGAATAGGAAATGAATTGAGCGAAATAACTAAGTGCATATATTTTTTTGAAGAAAAAAGTGTAATTGGATTGACCAAATATTGAGCGTCTTTCTATTCCTTAGAAGGTATATATTAGTTGTGGCTACTTTTTCATATACTCACTAAGTTGCTTTAAGTCAGGAATTTAATAAAAGTACCCTTGATAAACTCGACAGTGTCACATATCATTTATAGAAGTTAATGTAATAAAAATTATGATGAATAAAGCAAACATGAACAAAAAACTCAGAAAATAGAAACTAAATAATATTACCCTAGAGAATAAGTGGGTCAAAAACCCTCCACAGAATCAAAGCTGAAAACAAATTAATTAAAAATAAATAAAAATATGACATACCAAGATTAACAAAACATGAAATATAGAACTTAACTTCAGAAAAGAAGTTTGAGCAAACTATAAATAAACTCCTAAAGAACAAAATCCTAGACCAGATAGATTTAAAAATGAGTTCAATGAAATATTTAGAGAACAAACACCTACCTCACCATATTCTGTAAGCTGTTCATAAAAATAGAGAAAGACAGTAACTTATCATACTCCTATGAGGTTATGCCTCCTGATCACCACTTCAAGGAGGCAACTGGATTGTATAGTGGATGGTATGTTGGACCTGGAGTTAGAAAGACTTGAGTTCAAATCCTGCCTTCAGACACTTACTAGTTGTATGATCCTGGGTAAGTCAGTTGATCTCTCTCAGCCTCGGTTTCCTCAACCATAAAATGGGGATCATAATAGCACTTAGCTTTCAGGATTGTTGTGAGGATCAAATGAGACAATATGTGTAAAGTACTTTGTAAACCTTCAAGCCTTATATTTATTATTAGCTTTATTGATAACTATTGTTACAATAAAGCAGAGAAAGAAAACTATTCAACAGCATCACTAATGAACAAAGATACAAACTTATTAAATGAAATATTAGTAAAAAGGTTACAGCAGTATTAGTAATACTAGATCAGAGCTGTATCAAGAATGTAAGGATGGAGGCAGCTAGGTGATGCAGTGGGTAGAGCTCTGTCCTTGGAGTCAAGAGGACCTGAGTTCAAATTAGGCTTCAGATCCTTAACTCTTACTGGCTGTGTGACCCTGGGCAAGTCACTTAACCCCATTTGCCTAGCCAGAAATAATGCAAGGATGGTTTGACATTAGGAAAACCATAAATACAATAAATTATATTCATAATGAAAATAATAAAAATCCCTCTATTTCAATAGACATGGAAAAAAAGACAGACAGAAAAAAATAACAGTGCTCTTTGGTGTTTGAAAAAGCATGCTAAAATAAATAGGAATAAAAGGACATTTTTATAACATAATGAAAAAAACATTTAAAATCAAGAGCTATGGGACAGCTAGGTAGCACAGTGGGTTGAGCTCTGGCCTTGGAGTTAGGAGAACCTGAGTTTGAATCTGGCCTCAGACACTTCACACTTACTAGTTGTATGACCCTGGGCAAGTCCCTTAACCCTGATTGCCTCACCAAAAAATAAAACAAAATAAAATCAAGAGCTATGTTACTTCTGGAGAGATAATGGAGAAATGCTAGAAACTGTGCCAACAAGAGCAAAGGTCAATAAAGGATGTTCATTGTTTCCACTATCACATGCTTTAGTTCT